CGTCGTCCTCACTCCTCACAAGTAAGGTCTTATGATGCTTTGTTAGGTCAATCTTCTAAAAGAGAAGCTGGGATTCGATGATGCGTTTAACTACAAGGAAGTTACAAACCTCGATTCTGCTCTAAAAAGGTCATATCACTGCCTTTAACAATTAAGAACTTTTGGTTCACTTCATGTTCTCTCAAGAATTACACATTGCCTAAAGGATTAATACATGATGTTTGGGAATGTAATATGAGATTCTATGGAATTGCTTTTTAGTTCATTTTTTATCTCACTCCCCCAACGTCACAACCCCCCAAATTGGTAATGTGAGATTCTAATTAGATACTCCATAAGATGAGGTTATAAGATCTCGCGCATAACTTCAAAATAGTCCTATTATTTAATCTTTTTATTGAAGTTTGGTTGAAGACGTTGTTAAGTCAAGGAGAAAATAGTCCTATTATTTAATCTTTTTATTAGGTTTCAACCATGCACCATTTTAACAAATACTCCGTATAAGACTAATGGTTGTACTCTTTTGAAAGTTCAAGGAGAAAACACGCACTTTATGAAAATTATAGGGACTTGTGATGCACTTTTGAAAGTTCAGGGGAAAACATGTACTCCCTCCGTCCCAAAAAGATTTACACGTTTCAAAAAAATTGCGTCCCACAATCCCTTACTCATTTCTATTAAAAAACCACTTTTACCTCTTACTTTTTCAAACCCTACCTATCACATCATACTTTTTTCCTAATAATCTACACATCACAGCATACTTTTACCCATCACATCAAGGGTATTTTTGGAAAGTCAACACAAAATTATCCCTCTCTTAATTTATACTTTAGTCAAAACGTACCCATCTTTATGGGACGGAGGGAGTGCTACTTAAAAAGTTCGGGGGTAAAGTGCGCACTTTATTAAAAGTATGGATACTAATAGTGCATTTTTAAAAGTTGGGGGGGAATATACACTTTATGAAGACTTCAGGGGTAAATGACGCAAGAAAACTCTAGAAATACTACAGTAGCTAACGGTAAAAGAAAAACTTGACCCCCCTCCACCCTCCCTAACTGTGTTTTGCTGAAGCAGATGCTTCCCGGAAGGGATTGACGTTTACTTTGACAATGTGGGAGGCTCCATGCTGGATGCAGTACTTGGCAACATGAGGCTTCATGGCAGGATAGCTGTTTGTGGGGTTGTGTCTCAGCAAAGCACCTCTCATGCACATTACAATCTGTTCAACCTGATCACCAAGCGGATCAGGATGGAGGGATTTCTGCAGAGCGATTTCCTGCACTTGTTCCCCAGGTTTGTTGAAGATGTCACGCGGCTGTACAAACAGCACAAGATTGTGTACGTTGAGGACGTGAGCATCGGGCTGGAAAGTGCTCCAGCTTCTTTCGTCGGCCTCTTTTCTGGGAAAAATGTGGGCAAACAGGTCATTCAAGTTGCCGAAGCTTAACACTGTTTTTCATATGGGATACCTTTTCTTGAGCTTTTTGCATTGAAGAATGGCTTGTAAGCAACACTAGTATCTGCAAGCTCATCTTGAAAGCTTTTTTAAAGGCATGAAACTCGAGTGTGAAGTTTGGGAAATTGCTCAGAACTCATTTCTTTCACTTGAGACTTGTTGTAGGACAGTAAGTCAGTCAGTCAGCAACGAGTATAGGTGAGTGGCTGTTTTTTCTACTCTCCGAAAAATAATAAGGGTAAAACCTGAAATTAATAATTGTTGAATGCAAAATATAAAGGCGGGCAAGTACCGAACCGATCTCGAAATTTCCGGAAAAAATTAAGATTACCAAACTGATAAAATACCAAAAAAGAATCATACCATACAGAACTGAATGATCGATCCGGTATTTGGGATCAGTACACTGAAACTTTCCATACTGAAAAATCTCGAACAAAAAATATATACGAATTTATTTTAAAAATAATAATGTTTTATAATTTTCATTAAGTAATAAATTGATTTTGAAAAGTTAGTTCAAGTGTAGATTAATTACAAATAATCTTTTATTTGAAATATCATTTATTTAAAATTTATATTTTTTTAGATGAATATATAAAAAATTAACAATCGTTTGAAATACGGAGTACTATTTTGTTATCATTCACTCTATTTTTTTTGAAATACAATGTATAAATTAAACTAAATTTTATAAGTATTTCTTGCATTTAATTATTCATTTTTCAATTTATTATCTTTCTTTATTTGAACTTTTGATTTTTTGAAATAAAGACTTTTTACATTTCAAAGTGTAAATTAGGTACCTATATGCTTTTATCCCAATATTTACTGAAACTAAAACCGAACTATCCTGAACTCATACCGAATCGATACTTTGGGATCGGAATCGGTACGTTGTAACATACCCAAACCAAAATACTATCATTATTAACATGTTTAAAATACTATCATTATTAACATGTTTAAATGTGGGTGCAAAGTAGAGCCAAAATACTATCATTATTAACATATTTAAAATGCCAATTTACCATACATCTCTAGTTTGAATTTAGTTAGTAAAAAATGTTACCCCCTCCATTCCATATTTTTTTCTCGTTTGAACTTTTGTGGTTACCATTTTAAATTTTGACCATAAATTACAAAAATATATGTTGAATTGTGATATAAATTCAATATCAATATATTCATTCTGAAACATGGTTTAGAAATTTTATATTCTTATAAATCTATATTTATATATAAATAGAGATATTAATGATTAAAATATTGTATCAGAGCACGTAAAAGTCAAATGAGAAGAAAGATACAAAATGAGAATTTGAGCTATATTAGAGCACTGGAAATACTCGTGAAGCCTCGGGGCTTCAAATCGGCGCTTCAAAATTTCTCTCTCTGTCACGTTAGCTTTAAGTTATCTCACAGTTTCACTAGAAATTAGTTTGAAGCCCCGAGGCTTCAAACAGGGCTTCAAATCCTTATTTTTTACATTGTGAATACACATTTTGTAAAATTAAATTCTTATTAATTAATTGAATATAAACGAAGATAATTCATTAAATAAAAAATTATATTAAAAAAATTACACTGATAAAATAAAGATTTGACTTATAATAGCATAAATAAAAAATTAAAAATGACATTACATTATGAAGAAATAGCTGATTTTTTGAGCGACTAAAAATATGTTCAATCAAATTTGTTGTTTGTGCATTGTGACTCTCTCGGCTTCAAATTTCTTGGCAGTTTCTTCGTTTCTTTTCTTGATCGTTTTTTTCTCCATAGACACCTCCTCATCCGGGTTGTACTGACAAATTCCAAACCTGTTGTCCTCTATGATCATATTATGAAAAATAATATATGTGTACATGATATTCCCTATTTTCGTTTGAGAATAACACTTGGACAAGCGATCTATAATGTGTCACTTGTCCTTCAACACCCCGAGGGCTCGTTCGATATCTTTTCTCGCCGTCTCATTAGCTTTTTTGTAGGTCTGACATTTAAGACTCATTGGTTCGGAGAGGAACTTCACAATTATGAAATAATCTTGATATATTACATCGGCAAGATAATATTCACACTTGTAAAGCATCCCTCTAAGCTCAAAAGACAATGTGAGTGCACTCTCACTAATCCAATCGTCAAAAGGGGGCGATTGATCAAGAATATTAATGTCGTTGTTCGAGCCCGCAACACCAAAAAAAGTATGCCAAAACCAGAAGTTATTTGAAGCCATAGCTTCGAGCATAATTGTAGACTTGAGATGATCTCCCCTAGAGAAGTTACCATGCCATGCAGTGGGATAATTTTTTCATTCTCAATGTGTGTAATCGATGCTTTCAAGCATGCTGACAAAGTTGCGTTCAGTGGCATGCCTCGCTTGGAACTGTTCAATGTCGCTCGTTGTAAGCTTACGTGAATACCTTTTATGATAAAGTCGAATAATAACTTTAGAAAAATTATAAACACATGACCCGATGCTCCAAGCCGACATCTTCAAGTATTCGTCGAACATACCACTAGTTGTCCCATACCCCATGTGACAAAGCGCAACGGTGCACTTATGGACGCTGCTAAAACCGCGCTGGTCTCTTGCATCAAAGCGTTGGGTGAGCCAAGACACCTCGCATTCAATATCGACGAGTATGCGTAAGAACAAAGAACGACTCATTCAAAAACGAGTACTAAAATCATCCGGTGTGAAAACACACGAAGTATTGAAGTAGTTGTTGAGCAGTGATTCATGTGCAGCCGTCCGATCATGGTTTAACACTCACGTGATCGAGCATTGGGATGATTTCGCTTGCTCTTGTTGGCTTTGTTGCCACCATTGGTAACAACCCGTAGCGAAACAACGAAAAATGAGAGCTCTTTTCTCATCGTCAAATGAAGGTGATCCCATTTTTTAAGTGTTTTGTAGAGAGAATTAAAAGGAATAATCCGTAGAATATATTTTGGAGAAATTATAGAAAAAATAAGAATATATTGTGTGTGTTTGTTGTGTTAAAAATAAAGAGTATTTATAATATTATTTGTTTAATTTTTACCTGACGACCATAATTTGGACCGTTGGGGAGCGGGAGTGTGACGATCGCAAAGCAGCAGCGCACATCTGCGCCAACATTTAACGCAGTTTAGCGTTCTCCCGATGTTAAAACTGCATTTGAGGCGGTGGGCATTAAGCCCATTTAGAGTGCTCTTTATCTCAACACAATATTGTGGAGAGTAAGAATCGCTCATAAGACTATGGGAAATGTAGTTAGCAATGGAGGTTAAGAGTAATGCTAGAGTCACAAACAAATTGTTCACAAAATTTACAAACTTACTTTTTTAACACCTTCCTAGAAGTAAGATACACTCAAATAATAACGAAAGATGCACTCAATGTACAATTTCATTCTTTTTGTACAATTTGTATGGTCAAACAAAATATAAGTACGGGGATGCTTAATATGTTTTCCCTTCTTACGATCCCCTTCGGGTTCCCAACGCTGACTTTCGTCTCGAATCTCATCCGTTGATGCGAAATCCAACGGTTTAAAAATGAGTAGACGAGGGGCACCCGGATTCATCCCTTTTTACAAATCTCACTGTTCCCCAGCTTTCAACTCCTTTGGGAACGAAGAATGCGCTATCGAGTATCAAACCAAATCCAGTAAAACAACGTTCTTTGCAGATTCAGAGCGCAGCCTTCTCCAGCTTCCCATTGATTTTACCAAACAAAATCTCTTTCTTTCTTCTTCTTATTCTTTGAAGAAGTCAGGATTAGTCCTTCCCGCGCCGGTTTCCATTTTCATCTCTACGCATCCACGCGCAGTTGTTCATTTGCAGGGCGCAGCTTGAACTGAGCTTGGAAGGGCGCGTTTTCCTGTTTGAGCTGCTCAAATTCCAATTCCAGGAGAGCTTGGAGAGTTAATTAGGGTTTCTGTGATCCGTCAATTGTAGAATTTGATGGTTGATGAGTCTTACCTGAGATACTGTAACTTTCGTATCTGAGCAGGTCGTTTGAGAGGGCAGGTACGTTGTTGGGGCGGTAGTTGAAGTTGGACATGGGATTTACCCTGATGTTCGTTTTACTCCCCAGTCCTGATTGAAGAAAAAGGTAGGGTTTTGGATTGTAGGGGGTTTGAATTTGCGGTGTTTCTTGTTGTTTTGGCTGTGGAGCAGGTGAATATAGCTTTAGGTGTTTGTATATATGTACCTATAGAAAGAAGGATTTGTAGTTTGTCCTTGCTGTTGTTGTACAATTTGCTGGGCGAGATAGGGAAATAGGTAGAGAAAAGAAATGTTTTATTCACAGTTTATACTGGCAAAGAAGGGGCCTTTAGGCACCATATGGATAGCTGCTCATCTGGAGAGAAAGCTGCGAAAGAATCAGGTTGCTGATACTGATATTGGGGTCTCTGTAGGTCAGTTTCCCTTTCATGTAGTTTCTTCAGAGACAGTATATTAGGAAAGGTTTTGATTGCTGTGAATGCTTAATTGGCATTTTAAGTGTGCTTTACGGATGAATTAACACGTTCACCCATCAATAGGAAATTCCATTTATTGACTTTGTTGACTCTAGTGCAGTTAATGGCTTAATGCTTATTCAATGACATTTAGAGCAGGGATTGGGTGTTGACATGCATCACTATATTTTCAAGTCTGTTTTTCCTATTTTGGCTTCACCTTCATTTGTTTTATCAAGTAGTAAGGAAAAATGAGTTTTTTTTGTTGTTGTTTGGGAATCCAGTCTTTCTGTTTTAGGTTTATATTTGGTTTCATTTTGCTGAAATATAGCTCCATGCATTTATGTAGTCGGTGCATTTATTCTGAAATTATTGTGTTACTTGCATTGGCTGATCCATGATAAAGTTTTATCCATAAGACTGACTCAAGCTGTTAATGCTCAACAGACTCAATTCTTTTTCCTGATGTTCCAATCGCTCTCCGTTTGTCTAGCCATCTTCTGCTTGGTGTTGTGAGGATATACTCTAGAAAGGTGAACTACCTTTTTGATGATTGTAGTGAGGCTTTGCTCAAGGTCAAACAAGCTTTCCGCTCAACTGCTGTGGATTTACCCCCAGAAGAGTCTAAGGCACCATACCATTCTATCACGTTGCCTGAGACCTTTGAACTTGATGATTTTGAACTTCCCGACAATGACATTATTCAGGGGTTGGTTTCGAAATACTCGTCTTTCCATGAAAGTATTAGCTTTAGTGTAACTTGTGGAATTCACAAAAATCAGCCAAGTCTATGTGTTGAATGTTAATCTAGATGTCTTCAGTATATACTAGTGAACTAGGACATCTGTGTTACTACTAGAGATCATAAAGCACTCTTTAGCATTAATATATCATTGTGCCTTCCCAGTACTGTGTCCTACATTTTCATTTTCTTCTATATTTGTGCAGTAACTATGTAGATCATCATGTGAGCTCAAGGGAGCAGATAACACTCCAAGACCCCATGGATAGTGTTGCTTACTCCACATCTAAATTTGGATTGGATGGTATGTACTCTGTAATACTTAAACACTAAAAATGACATTAATACTTATGGTGTTTTCATCTGATGTTTATATGTATCTGCATTTTACATATTTGAATGATATCTTTTTCAGAGAGGTTTGGCGATGGAGATGCTTCAGGTTTAGACCTTGAAGAGGTAACCTCTCTCTCTCTCTCTCTCTCCTGAAACTAGTAATCTCTAATTGACTTCATTGAAATACAGGTGTTTTTGTGTTAGTTACCCAAAAACTAGTAATCTTCTTGTTATTTTTTTATTGAAGTGGTGTGGCAGAGTTTTGCCAGAACCCTCAATGCACCCATATCTAAATCTCTGACCCCCTTCGCTCCCCTTGGGTTCTTTTGAGAGCAGGAATTATTTTTGCACAACGTTCCTACCACAGGAGTTGCTGGTGTGAGGTTAGTCCCAAGCTTTATTTTAGGGTCTATGTTTGCACTATAAAACTTACAAACATTTATTTTTAAACAAGTCTGGTTCTATGTGTGTTGGCTTTACATGTTTAATTTTTTAAACTGTTACTTTATACTACGTATAAGTCTATTGGTTTGTCACCTAACTAATGTGTATGCCTCCATTAAGAACATTAGCTTTCCCAGGTTTCTTTAATTTAAAAATCAAGGTTTATCTTCCTAATTACCAAGAATTATGATAACACCATCTTTTGCTTATTCTAGTGCTGATGCTCAAGTGTCTGTTGAACCTATGACACCTTTAAAGCATGATGAACTTCGAGATGTCCTGGCTGCAAACTCAGAGAGCATGGTAATTGAACATACAGAGTTAATTGGAACTTAAAATGGCTCCCTCTTTGTTCTGTTTGATGCAATACAAATGTTTTCTGGCTCAGTATTTTTATTTTTATCATAATCAGGTTGATGGTGCTGAAGTTGATACTGATTTTGTGGAGTATGCACATGCCCCATGCACCCCTGGATTAGCAGAAGAACCAAATTTGTTAAATATTCAAGAGACTTCAGCATGTGATGAACATTTGGAAACAGAATATCAGCATCCAACTGCATCAGTCATGAAAGGAGACTTGCGAAATATTTCTGAGGGAGATGGTGGTTGTGATGAGAATAGTCTTCCCAGGCATATGCCTTTACCCAAAGATGTACTGCCTGATGCAGTTGTAGATACCCATTCTGAGGAGACTTGCTGCCATTCAAGACTTGCTCCCGAAGTTTCTTTTGAGTGTGTACCATCCAATAATCACACTTCGTCCTCTAGAATATCAGGTAATGTTGATCCAGTGAATGCACCTTTGCAAGAGTTAATTGATGATGCACTTCCTGATGCAGTTCTGGATTCCCATTCTGAGGACAATGGTTCCCAATTGGGAGTTTGTCAGTTTCCAGCTCCCAAAATTGCTTTTGAATGTGTGCCATCAGATAAACAAACTTCAGTGTCTCGAACATCAGTTCATGTTGATCCAGTTAGTACACCTTTGCGAGAGTTAGCTGATGATGCAGTTCTAGACTCACATTCTGAGGAGGCTGGCTACGATTTAGGAGTTGGACAGGTTCCAGCTCACAAAGCTGCTTTCGAGTGTGTTCCATTGGATAAACACACTTTGGAATCTGGAGCATCAGTTCATGTTGATCCAGGTAATGCACATTTGCAAGAGTTACCTGATGAGGCTGCTAAAGCTTCTCATAACCCCAAAGAGGTGGAAGTCATTCAGAACCAGATGTTGAACAATGACAATGTTGACATTTCTTCCCATAGTGGATCACACAAAGACTGCTTGAGCCACAATGGAATTAATTCGGAAGAAGAGGCTTGCAATATTCCTGGTTTGGCGAGCATTGACTTTTCAGTTCCTGAGGATATTATACAAGGCCATCGGAAATCGCCTGTTAAACATGCACCTGAAACATATCAGGAGCAAAGAAATTCCATCAATCTAATGACATCTGGCCAATTTCACATTCTTAAGCCATGCAATGCTCATAGTCAGGTTGATTCATCAAAGCCATGCGGTGATCACCTTGAAACTTCTAAAATGCAGATCTTGTGTGCTTCAGAGCCTTCTATTGTCCCAGGTATGGAACTTGGTTAATGTATTTATTCATGCAGTGCTTAATGTCTAATTACATGTGGCTGCAACTTTTCTAGGTGAGATGTGTCCTCCAACCCATGATTTAAAACATATTTCTTATGAGAATCACATGGAAGTACCTACTATGTGTGGAGACAATGAGGTAAGTAGTCAGAAATCAAATGTTCTGGTGGAAGATGTTGCTCTACTAGAGGATGTCGCTGTCACTCCTGCAGATTGCCCTCAGAGAAATCCATGTAACTCTGCTCTTCCTGATATTCCAGCACCAGAGAAATTGCTTTCTGTACCAGAAGGGGTTGTTGATTTACTGGTGGGTGTTCTGGCAGAGGATACACCAGCGGAGTCCCTCAGGATTAATGACACTGGCCCCAGTGATTCCAAATTCACATCTGGAAGAAAACGCAGTTACTCTGAAAGCACACTAACAAAGCAAAGTCTGAACTCATTTGATTCAACAAGGACGGTTCGTTCCAGAACCACAGAACTTATTCCTGATGATGAAGATCTATTGTCTTCAATACTTGGTATGCTCCGTTTATATGTTCTTGCTTGCATGTATTTTCATGCTTGCATCAGACGGAATAAATCATGTTCACTTTGCGTTTAATACGGAGTTATAATTTGTGTTTTAATGTTTACATAAATTCAGCTGGAAAGAGATCTTCAACACTGAAACTTAAGCTCACTCATGAGAAAACATCTGTAAAACGCCGCCGCATAGCTCAAAGTAGTGTTCTTAAGAGGAAAGTGCTTATGGATGATACCATGGTGCTGCATGGAGAGTATGTTTCGTTCTATGGAACCATATTTTCTATGATTATTAATCGTTCTATGGTCCTTCGAATTTTTTTAATTAAATCATCCCTATTAAATTATTGGTTTGCAAATAGTCCTCTCCCAATTTAAATATATGTTTTGATCCTTGTAAAACTTATAAATTTTATTTTGGTCCCTTTTAAATTCATTTGGTTTATTCATCCCTATTTGTAAGTTATTAAATATATATGATTAACTTATTACACGTGTAATTAAGCATAAATTAGTAATTGAGTGGTAGAAAAGTGTGTAAGAGTGAAAACGTTTTAGTTTTGCCATGTGTCAATGAGAAAAAGATATATTGTAGGCTACATGAGTTTTCTAAATTTTTTAGGAACGAAAAAAAGAGAAGTGAAAATAGCCTATCTAACTATCATTCTACAGAACTTTGATTCCGTTTTTTAAATATTCCACTTTTGTGAGTTCTGTCTTATAAAAATCTTCAAAGTTTGCTTTTCTGGACTTCATAAAAAGTATTAAAATGATAAAATCGTAGTTTTGAAAGGCAAAAGGCAGGCAAGAGGGCCTTTTTTAAGGCGAAGGCGGGCAGCCTAAAGCCGAACTTGGGGCACACACACATACATAAAATATAGTGCAGTGCAAATAATCCAAAGAAATTGTAAACAAGTACTGAGCAAACATAAAGAATATGCACCAGAGAAGTAACCTAAGCCTATGAAGCATAAAAAGATGGTAAAAAAGAAGGCAGCAAAAGAACTACAAAAGGAAACAGAGAGATGGGAGAGAGCAGACGAGAGATACCAGAGAGAGAGAGGAGACGAGACCTGAGTTGCCAATGAGACCAGAGGAGACGAGGTAGAGTTGTGTAGATTGACTCGATTTTGGTAGGCGTAGTCGCGCTAGGCTGTAAACAAGTCGCGTTTAAGATGCCAGCACATTCCTCAAAAAAAATGTTTTTGCCAGCCCATTTTTTAAAGGCCATAGCTGAACTAAATTTAGGCGAGCGACTTAGGCGAGAAAGGCGGATATTGCCTCGCCTGACAGGCGGTAGAAGGTCGTTGAGACGCCTGAGGTGCCTTAGGCGAGGGAGGCGATCACCTTTCAAAACTATGATTACAATTGAAAAAAGTATGAATGAATTTTCTTTAGATGATGAAGACTTTTCTTAAATGCAAAAAATGAAAAGTAGTAATGGTTTTTACAAATAAAAAGCATTAATTTAGCTTTTTTTTTTAATTAAAAAGTATTTATTTAGCAATTTTTTAAATTAATTTGTAATAATGTAGTTATTTGATAAAGCGTCTAAAAATATTTCATTGACTTTGAGTTTTTAATTAATTATATTTTGAATAAAAAAGAATACGTTAATTGTATATGGAGTATTTAATACTTTGAATAAAAGAATTGGAACAAATGAACCAAAAGAATTTTAGAAGGACCAAGCACTAAGTTTATTAATCTTATAGGGACCAAAACATATATTTGAGTTGCGAGAGACTATTTACGAAAATAATAATTTTACAGGGATGATTTAATTAACGAAAATTTTAGAGTGACCAAAAGCAAATAACTTTATGTGCTTTGTGTACATATGCATTATGTGTTTGCTTACTGGGTCAAAGTATCTTGTACTTTTAATTTAACTTAAATGTGTAACTGTCTAATATTATGCCACTATGTTTCTGTGAAATGGATTGATTGTCACCTTTAAGCTTGGATTTATTACAAAACATATCATTGCTCTCTTTCAGTGCTATACGGGAACAACTAACATATACCGAAGACATACGCCGTGTACGCAAGAGAGCTCCCTGTACATGTTCTGAAATTTCAGTGATCCAGAAACAAATATTGGAAGATAAAATTTTCAGTGAACCAATACTAACAGGTGAGTTAACTTCATAGAACTTCGGACTGCTTTGAAGTTATAGCATGTTTGTAAGTAATGCTGAAATTGTTCGTATGGAAAAATTGTGTTGTCTTTTTTACAAAGATCTCCATTATTATTTATCTTTAGGAAATAGCTATATTTTAAGTGTTATAGAAGTGTATGTGGTCATGGTGTGATGTGCAAAAGTAAAACTGATGTAATATGCTGGAAAGGTGTGTTTGCGAAGTGTCAGTTTTGTGAAAATATTGCAAGTGCTGTACTCGTAGGCTTCTTGCATAACCCTTGTGCATATGCTCTCAGAGAGAAAATAATTCTTATTTGAAATTGTTAACTGCACCGGGATCTAATTGGGTTATAACAACAAGACAACCTTCCTACACATCTACCATTCCAATGCTACAATTGAGAAGCATACATATACTTTCTTTAGTTTGTGCATTTTGAGTGCAGTTTGAATATTTTCCACATTGCATGTGTAGTATGTCAATTTTCTATGCAAATGTGGAGTAAAGCCCAAATAGTTGGGTAATCCAATGGTCTTCTCCTACATGTTATAGCCTGCCAAGTTCAGTTTAGGCACATTACTGGCTTTGCACTTACTATATGAATTCAGTGTGTGCATACTAAAATGTTAGGAATCAGAGATCAGAGGCGGTCAAGCGGAAGCGAACAAACACCCACACACAAATAGCAGAAAATAAGAACACGAGATTTAACGTGGTTCGGTCAGTAACCTACTCCACGGGTTGCAACTAGGGTTTATCTTTTATTAGGTGCTCACAGATTATAGTTACATGATTGGGTATTTATAAGATATAAATTAGGGTTAACCACTTGCTAAACAAGAAACAACTAATGGGCCCTTTAATTAATAACTAAAACCGGCCCCCCATATTTCTTCCCTTTAACTGACCGGGCTTAAAGCCCAAAGCTCTAAAGCCTTCACTGAATAACCCAACATAAAAAGGTTATGATTCCGTGACATTGCTGGCATAGCATACCAAATGAAATTTGCACATTGTTGAAAAAGTTTTTTGTCAGGTTACCATAAACTAGATGGGTAAAGCATGTCATCATTTTTTCTATTAGTGCTCTCAAATTTATCTGAATGTGATTCTTGGGATATAATACTTAGTTGTTGTTGCTCTCCCATTAATATTTTCCTACATGAACAAAATGCCAGTCCCCAGTGTAATCCCAACCCATTCAGGCCTGTAGGGTCAAGGTGTATGCTGCCAAAACTGAGAGGCTGTTTTCTTTAGACCCTTGCTGCATTGCTGTATTTAATACCTACAATTTCATAGGGAGTAAAAACTAAGAAGCAATTAAAGTTTAAGGTGTTAATTTTATTTAGTCAATTATTTTTCCAAAACTAAAATATTACCAATAATTACTCTTTTAGCCCCAATGGCAATTGACACCGGATTTTTATAGTTCCCTGATTGCAAATATTCATTTCTCTTGTTCATGGTTTTAAACTTTAGGCTTACTGTCAATTTTAGTGGCTGGAGACACGTCTTTTCCCATGTTAATTTGTGAGGCTCGTCTCTTCCTAGGGGAGAAGATACATTCAATAAGATTGAATTGGATTTCTTACTTTGAATTTTTTCCCTTTCCCCCTTAGGTGTTTCTATGGAATTGGGTTGTTTGCACAAGCAAACATTTGATCTGACCAAAATCAAGGTCTTACAAAATGTTCGAATTGCCACACCTGTTGAAGAAGTTACTGACCCAAAGCAAACCTTTGTGAATGATGAAAACAGTAAGATCCTGGAGTTCCAAACTGTTGACAAGTTTGATGAACCACATACCACGAGAGAGAATGAGAGAGAAGGCACTGATGAACCTCCAGTGACAGGATATGATGGCAACGTAAATTCTGTCCTGGCCGCAAACCTGGGTGAAAATCAAAATCTAACTTCAGATGATAATGCCACTCAGATGCTCATGGACACCACTGCCGATGTTGAAGCTAATGCTTCTCAACTTGCGTTTTCAGGAAATGCATCTGAAACAGGAATTGACCAAACAAACACATCACATGATGATGTAGACAACATTGCTTTGGCTGGAGTTGAGATTCTCTCAAGAGAGAATGAAAGAGAAGGCACTGCTGAGCCTTCAGTAACAGGAGATTATGGCAGCATAAATGTTGCCCTGGTCACGAACAACCAAGATGGAAGTCACAACCTAACTTTAAATGATAGTTCCACGCAAATCCGAATGGACACCACTGCTGATGATTCTGAAGCTAATGTTTCTCAACTTGATTCTTCTGGAAATGCAGCTGAAACTAGATCTAACCAACCAAACATGTCACATGAGTATGCAGAAAACACTGCTTTGGCCGGAGTTGGGATTCTACACCTTACTGATGGTGCTTTGGGTGTTTTAGCTGAATCCAATGCTTCTCACTTTGAGCTTTCTGATAGTGCAGTTGAGACAGGAACTTATCAAATAAATGTTTCACTTAATGCAGAAAACACTGCTTCGGCTGGAATAGACTTTCTTCACTCTACTGATGGTGCTTTGGATTGTTTAGGTGACAATTCAAGCGGGTTGCATATTAAAGAATGTGATTTATCTAAAGTCATGGATGCTTCTGCACAAATAGATGAATCTTACATATCAACTAATCACATTATGGGCAATCAAGATGTTATGACAGATATGAGTACTGATGAACATAATGTCGATAATCCCCGAGAAGACAGAATGGGTACTGCTGAAATTGAAAATTACCCCAGGGCTGTGGACAGTGTCTCATTGGGTGTAGCCCAAGTTGATGCTGAAGTTGTAGCTAATGACTATGAGGATTTCCGAATTGAATATGATTCTCAAGTCTTGACTAGTAATGATATCTGTGGTGAACATCCTACAATAGACTCTTCTTGGTCGGCTGAAGTTAAAGTGCCTGTGCCGGATCACACCATAGATTTTAGACAAATCCCTTCTCAGCAGGAAACTTATCTACAGAGCCTGTTTGATGGAGAAGTTTCTATTAATGAGCTCAATGATCCAGATGTAAGTTCTTGATTAACCATGATTTCTTTAATTAAATTTCATTATTTTTAGCACTCCACATGGCTCCTTCTCCCACCTGGCACTAGGATTGGTTACTTTCTCTTTGCCTGTGAACATTGAGAGGGGTTTAAAAATGACATCTTTTCTGGAGCCTGCTGGGATATGCCTCAGTTATACATTTATATGCTTTAATTTGAAGCAGCTAAACTGATCAATGTGCGGTCGCACCAAATATATTTAAACTGATTTTAAATTTTCAAATTACTCCTAAGTTTTTAACAGTGCTCTTTGTTAAACGGAAGGCAAGCGAGTCAGGTGCAGTGATCAGCTGACTGCAAACTGTGACTGAGGATAGGTTTATTACATAGGCACACACATTTTGGAATAAGATAATATGCACCAGCCTTTGTAGTGGAAATAAAGGGTTTGCTGCAATTTACAGTACCTCTCATTTCTTTTCATCTATCCATCCCAATGGAAGCTCTGATTCTTTTTCAATTGTCTTGAAGCATTTCTTTGATTTTCAAGTCTTATTTCTTTGACAACTATTCATTTATTTTTGGCTTCTTTCTTGATGCAGGCTTCAAATTATTCAGGTGCTTTGAATGACACAGGTTTGTTCTCATGTGCTATTTTATAGTAATTTTTTAGCAGAGTTAAATATGTTTTTGGACCTTGTAAAGTTAGTAATTTTTGTTTTTGGTCTCTAAATTTTAAAAAAATTAAATTATCCCTTTTTTTGCAAATAGTCCTCGCAAAGCATAGACTAAACGTGTTTTGATCCCTATAAAATCAGTGGATTTTGTTTTTAGTCGTCTTTTAATAAGTTTATCCCTATTTTTATTTTTATCTTTTGCAAATGACCCCCCTCTTAAGATTTCACCATACCTTTGAGTATAAAGTTTAGGGTGGTGATAGTCACATCATACCAAAAAAACTAAACTCACCCCACCATAGTTGTTACGTCGACTAGGCCAGGCCTGGCGCCAGAGTACCTTCTAGTTGCCTAGGCGATTTGGCATCCATTAGGCGAGTGCAATATAGCACTATATATATATTTCTTCATCTTCTTCTACTACTTTTTCTTGTGTTACATCAATTTCAAGTAACAAAGTGAACCCAGATTTAAAAGCTTTGAAAAACATGTTAAGAGTAAAAAATCTAGAGTTTGATTTCAGAGGCTTAGATGAAATCTGTCAGTGAACCATAAATTTGATTGCTGATTGATCAAGAAAAAAGCAAGAAGGTGGCCATTGCTTGACCGATGGCTACTTGTTGCGCGTGGCATGGTCGTTTTGGGTGGCCAAAATGGTACGGTGCCGTCGACCGCCGCCGGAGATCGTAGATACCCTCGTTGCTGATGGAACCTACAAACTACTCGTAATAGGCTTGGAACCTCTACGCTGGAGATCATAGTTGTAGTACCATTGTAGATCGTATGTCTGTCACTTTTCTCTTCAATTTTCACTTTAATTTCTTGGTTCGGATTTTGATTTTAAAGATGATTTTTATTTGAGGAAAAACAGAAAAGATGAATGAAATCGGCAATGAGCTGGGCAGGTTCACGAAGGAGATGTGAACTGTGACCTGTGGGTGAAAGGGCAAAAGTGGAAACTTATCATATTTTTAACTTTACATTAAAATCTGCACCAAGTCAAAACGAGAAGTTTCAACTTGGACGGAGGGAGTAGCATTAAAATTCTACAGAACGATAGTCTATATTACCGGAAACACCTTATAGGCTGTTGTACGCATGTTGGAGATGTCTCAGAAACTCCAGGCATGTTTTTTTAATTTAAAATAAAAAATCTGGGAGACGTTGAGGCGACACGTCTCCCTTTTCAGAAACGGCTAGGGCTAGGGCTATCGATCCGGATCGCTGATACAACCGGAAACTTGATCGGCTGGCTGGGATCGTCAAGGATGGCGACGATTCAATCTGGTAAAGAGGCCAGAGTCAACCAAAGAAAGAAAGAGTCAAACCTGTTGAATCGATCTGTCTCCCAAAACCTCTCTCCTCTGCGACGTTTCTTTTTCTTTTCCGTGTAGGCAGTGGCCTTTTTTCCAATTCTTGGGCCNACAACCCCCCCCCCCCCTACCCCGCAATGTGCGGGAGCCTTTGAGGCACTGGGGTAATGTTGTTTGACCCAAAAATGAGTCCAGTTTGATAATAAACAAAGATACCTTTTCATGGGATTTGCCCTAAAATTGTCAAAAAAGATATACAATTACTGACTTACTGGATATGATGGCTTTAGTTAAATCAACAAATAAAACTAAAACCATATAAGTATGGTTCATGATTTATGATCATTGTACCTTATCGAAATCTAAAAGCATGATACTTTGATGCTTTGTCTCTTGGAAACATCCTCTCTATTTTTGAATAGGGATAAGGTCTGATTACATACACCTTCCCCTGACCGTACTCTCTTAGGATCCAACTGGGTTGTTTTTGTAGATATTTTGATGCTTTATTAAGAAAAGGATTCCACATTCCTGCTTTAATAGATGCACTGCATATCCTTCCTTGTCTCCAGGGTTCCTAAATGATGATGACTATGATAATGACGAGGAAGAAGATGGAGCTGCTGGTGACTATGTGCTTGATGCTGAAGGAGCACGCTTGACTGATAACAGTGGGTGGTCTTCCCGTACCAGGTATTCCAGACCCTCGTGTGTTATTTTCTGATATATTGTATCTGTTATTTCTATATTCGGACCATCTATAAAATCCAACAAGTGTTTATGATGTTCTTAATGATTCGCTCCCTTTTTCTGTGTGCTTCTTCACTGACTGAAGGCTTTCATCTTAAATCTTAATTTACCACAGTGTGTCTTTTATTGTACAATAATAAAATCCGGAGTTGCTAACATGATGTCTTCTGTCAGAGCGGTTGCCAAGTATCTCCAGACAGTTTTTACCAAGGAAACCCATTATGGAAGAGATGCTCTTTCCTTAGACAGCCTTTTGGTTGGAAAAACGCGCAAGGAAGCATGTAGGATGTTTTTTGAATCTTTGGTATGTCTCAGTTCTTCCGAAACATTCTTTGCAATGTTTTTTTTTCTTGGGTTGTAATTGATAAAGTGCATGCCCTATTTTTTTGCTTATTACCATTTCCTCTTCTACGGATTCTCTCACATAGCCATTGCTGTATTTGGATAGGTTCTTAAAACGAAGGATTACGTCCATGTAGAGCAGGCATTCCCCTTTGATGATATCACCGTTAAGCCGCGAATGCAGCTTATGAAATCTGAGTTTTGAACAGCGATGTTGAAGTAGGAAACAAGGCATGTAAAGTTGGGGCAGTCATTATAATTTATATCGAAAGCTTTGGTCTTGTTTGGAGAAGGGGGTGAATGGGAGTTTTTAAGTTTTTTTTTTTGAGAGAACAGGGGCAATGGTGTTGCCCCCTTTTTTAATCATTTCCAGTCAAAATTAATAGGGTAGAAGCTTAGATCATTTGCGGCAGGTGCTGATGTCATTTGGATGTAATACTTATATTTATATACACATATACGTATATATTATTATATGTATATAAGCTGTAAAATTATGCATGTGAAATTGACAATGCTGGTGATATTGTAGATCTATCTATTCATAGATTCCACTTTCATCTCTTGATATTCGGAGATTTAATCTTACACCAACTCAATTCGTGTAAAATTGGAGCACTTACGGTACTCCAATTATAAAATTATTTGTTCTTAACACCATAACTTTCCTGCGTGTAGACTAGGAAAGGGTATGGTGACATAGACACATACTCCAATTATGGCTGAGGTCTCCTTTACTGTCTACGAGGTAATTGAAAAAAAAAAGGAATTTTAAATTTTGTTCTTATATTATAAGTATGCTGATATTCCCGGCACTGTGAAGTACTCCTTTCCCAAAATAGACGTCACATTTACTATTGTATTTTTTTTTGGGTCAAATTGCATCTCATTTCCCAATTTCTTGAAGAAAGTACTAGTGTTAAACTTACCTATTGTTTTACATAATCTTTTTTGTAGTTTTTTTAGTGTGTGTGTGTGTGTGTGTATAATTTACTACTATCAATAAAACATTACTCGTGCAAAACTTAAGTTCAAAAAATTTCAACTACTATTTTAGGTTTAGGGAGGAGCGCCATGCGTGTCAACTGGTAAATTTATTGATATTTACCTTTACACTATGTTTGGTTCAAGGAATTTGAGAGGGAAAACAAACGAAAATGAGAAGGAAAACATTTTTCTTGTTTGGTTAGAGAGTAAAAGAAAATCAGAAGACAAAAAACACTAAGAGGAAAAAAACCAAATTTTTTCCATTTTGGAGAGGAAAATGAGGGAGAACTATTTTCTTTTCCAGTTCTTCAAAATTCCTTGAACCAAATGTAGTGTAAATAGATAACATTCCAAGCACCAAAAGATATGTAAAACACTAAAACTAGTCAAATTCAATCAGTCCTCTTCTTTCTTAGTTTGCATTTATTTATTTTCTTTCATCTGTTCTTACCCATTCTTTTTTATCTCATTCTTCATTCCACTGTTTAACGCTGGGTACACGCAGGATTTTGCACATTACAAATCAGGAGTCTACAAACATGTCGTAGATGAAAGAGAGCCGCCAACCGATTTCAATTTACCAATCTTCGAATCTTTGTTGGTATATCGTAGATGAGAGTCATGAATGAATTTCATAGATCCAATGTATGAGAGTCGCCCAAATCTTTGATAATATCCAACCGCTTCCAATTAATCCGAAAGTCCATTTTGATGATATGGCTCATGACTCATGAGGTGTTAAAGAAAGGAGCAATGTTATGTTTACAAACAGAATGATCAAAAACTTCACAAACATCATGTTTATAGTTTAAATTCTCATTTTTAAATTATTTTACACTATTTAAAGTTTTTTATTGCAGTTCACAAACAGTAAATTTATAAAATTTGTGAGCATTATGTTTATGAACCAAGCATTGTGATTCTGAGAGTTTAATTCTCAAAATTTTATAAGGAGTATATAAAAGATTATAGTACTCCATATATGAAACTATGAAAGAAAATTTGTAAAATTGGAAAAGTATTTAGTTCGATATGCTGGAAAAGTATTCAGTTTAATTAAAGAAAAATGCTAGGGGTACACCAAAGGTGTACCCCAAATATCCCCCACTCCCTCCTTGTCCACTAAAAAAGGCAAAAAAATTCAAAAAGAATAAGTAAATAAAAATCAAATAAAAATGTATGGAGGAAAATAGGGTGGTGTACATTTAGGGTACACCAAAAGGTGTACCCCTAGCATTACTCTTAATTAAAATGTAGACCACTTGAAAAAGGAAAGAATAAGACGCTGTAAAGATAAGAACGAAACTTGCCGTCCTATGTCGGCCAAACTTCCTATATAAACCACCCCATCCTCTCCCTCCTACATCCAATCCATCCTTTGATTTTTCGATTCCCACTTTTCAATTCTCAAGCTCAGAATTTAATCCCTGTTTCTCACAGTAAGCACACATCGCTTCGGTTTGATTTTCCGATTTCGTGATTCCGTTCGTAGAAATTCTGATTCTGATCTTGTTTTTGTGTTTTTGATTTTTTCCCCAGATGCAGATCTTCGTGAAAACCCTAACCGGCAAGACGATTACTCTCGAGGTCGAGAGTTCCGACACGATCGACAACGTCAAGGCTAAGATCCAGGACAAGGAGGGAATTCCGCCGGACCAGCAGAGGCTGATCTTCGCCGGAAAACAGCTCGAGGACGGCCGGACCCTTGCCGACTACAATATCCAGAAGGAGTCCACCCTCCACCTGGTTCTCCGCCTGAGGGGAGGCATGCAGATCTTCGTCAAAACTCTCACCGGAAAGACGATAACTCTCGAGGTTGAGAGCTCCGACACGATCGACAACGTCAAGGCTAAGATCCAGGACAAGGAGGGCATCCCGCCGGACCAGCAGAGGCTGATCTTCGCCGGGAAACAGCTGGAGGACGGCCGGACCCTTGCCGACTACAATATCCAGAAGGAGTCCACCCTCCACCTTGTTCTCCGCCTGAGGGGAGGCATGCAGATCTTCGTCAAGACTCTGACCGGAAAGACGATTACTCTCGAGGTCGAAAGCTCCGACACGATCGATAACGTGAAGGCGAAGATTCAAGACAAGGAGGGCATTCCGCCGGACCAGCAGAGGCTGATCTTCGCCGGAAAACAGCTGGAGGACGGCCGGACTCTTGCGGACTACAACATTCAGAAGGAGTCGACGCTTCACCTTGTCCTTCGTCTCCGTGGGGGTCTCTGAATGGCTTCTCTATTTGCCTCTGTATGTGTTGACTGTTCTCTGTTGTTCCTGGTGTTTGGTTGGCTCTATGGTGGTGTCTGTGTTATGCAGCAAATAATTTAAAGTCCAAATAATTTATATTTTAATTTAATGAAATTGTCTTGAGTTTTTATTTGTTGTTTTTTATGATTGGGAATACATCGCCTGCAATTTATTTTATCACAGGATTCATTTGCCAGATGATTAATCGTCTTCCTTAGGTCAATCATGGTTGTTCCTTTCGATATCTACTGGCAAACTATGTTTCTTTCATAAATTTATTATTTGTGAATTTCAACAAAAAAAAATTAAATAGTTTAAAATAATTTTAAAATGAGAACTTAAATGTTTTATTTGTGAACTTAACATTGTTTTTTTTAAAACATTAGGTTTGGATTTTTATTTGATTGACTTCAATCGAATGGTCTGAATTTAGAGCCGAGAATGATATATTCAATCAATCATCAGATAGCTGAAATGGTTTGAATCGAATCCAAATTGAACTAAAGTATCCACTCTTCATAACAATTTAATGGAAAATGCTACGTGTACCCATTTGTCCCCCACTCCCTCCATTACCACTTAAATAGACAAGAAATTTAAAAAAAATTAAGTAAATAAAAATAAAAAATAAATGAATGGTTATGGAGGGGTGGTGTACCCCTAGCATCTCTCCAATTTAATTGGCATGTGTTTGTTTTTAGAATCTAACTCGTTTTTACTATCCAACACTTCATAGAAAATAAGAGGCCAAATACCACCTGTACTCCACAAATAGATATCAATACTTATCATATTTTTAAAATTTATTTCTAAAGTCGTCGTGATTTCAAAACGTTTTTCTGGACGAAGAAGAGGATATTGACATCTATTTTTCAAATCATATGGGACATTAGTGTTCATTTTTTATTTTTAATTTCTTTTTTTTTTCCTTTTTGTTTCTTTTATTAATCAAAGTTTTTTAAATTTCTTTTTAAAAATGTTTTTATATTTTTCTTAAAATTTAAAATTATTTTTTTGGAAAAAGAAATAACATATACTGCCTAATGTCTTAAATTAATATTTTTTATTTTTTATTTTCTAACATAGAAAACTAAAAACTTATTTTGAGAATTCAAAAAATAATGTATAAAATAAGAAATAAAATAAAATAAAAAACAAAAATGAATATCCTCTCAATTATAAAGACTTTTTTAGATATTCAGAAAATATCTTTTGTATAAGACTCTTTTTATAGATGTTTAAAAAAATTTTCATTTCGTTTTTCCACATTTTTATTTTTATTTTTGAATTTTTGATTTTGTTTTTGAACTTGCCAAAAACATTGTTGTAGAAAATATAAAAAAAGAAAATGTTTAATAAGAGATGGATTGAGTATATGTTATTTTTTATTTTAATTTCAAACACCAAATTTTGAATTTTTAAAAATATTATAAAAGATTTAAAAGAAATATAAAAAACTTTTCTAGGGTAGGGAAACAAAGAGAGAGAAAAAGTTAAAAAGGAAAAAAAGTAATAAAAAAATAAAAAAAGACTTGAATGATAGTTATTTGACCGAAAAAAGTTCAATTCGCCATTTTGTTTAGTCTTATTTTATATTACAAGCTAAAACGTTGTTAATAGTGACTTATTTAGCTTGATTGGCAATAGATTCAACAAAAACAAGGAAAAGATTGAAAATAGTTAATAAGTTACTAGAAGTAAAATGAATTTCATGATAGATATAAATTCACAATAGTGATAGACAATAGATCTGAATGATAGATATAAGTCCACATCGAGAACCATCATTGGCCCTTCCTCCGGCTCGTAATATAGTCTCTAAAATTACCTCAATAATAGTCTCTAAAATGACTTGAATGGTAGATCTAAATCCATTTTGCCCTTTAAATTCAAAACAACTCTTCATTTACTCAAATTGGCAATGAGTCCCAAAATTGTACAAGACGGATTCGTCTATCGATCTTGGTTCGGGAAATTCTTCCTCTTGGATCGAAATAAATTTGAATGACTCCAATGAAGATGAGGAAGAGTACTCTATGCCTCCCAAATCTTGCTTCCCACCCGGTCACAATAATTGAGGTAATTAACATTGTAGATGAAAAAGTTTTTTGATCTCTAACAAGAAAAACCATACAACAATGACATGCGCATGTTGTAGACTCTTAGGGATCACTTAATCTGCGCGGTAGAGAAGAAGCTAAGAAGGTGAAAATTCGGACAAAATGGAACATAGGGGACTAGTTTTATAAATTCTCTATTGTATTTTTTCCTTTCGTTGTAATTTTTTTCTTTATTTTTTGTAATCAATACAATTATTTCGAATTATGTTTAGATTAATATTTTAGTTTATATATATTATTACATAAATAACACATTTGAGTTAAAAAAATAATCTCTAATGGGGTTGGCCCTCATATCATTACATAACTTTAAGTGATGGGAGGGACATTACACATGGCGCCTACGTGGCGATGGTCAAATCCCCTATCAAGCCCCCATAAGACTATGTGGTATGGGGCGTGATCCGGAAGTGGTGACCAGACGTTGCGTCCCCTATATCCTTGTCACACCGGGCGTGACAGGGGCGTGACCCTGCAGGGGTGAAGGGCCTCACTGGGTGATAGGGTGTTTTGTATTCTCTATTTATTTTTAATTTCTTACCAATTAAATTAATATTCAATTACATACTTATCACTCCACCACACCACACATTTTTTATTACTCCACATCATACACGTTTACACTTCATAAACCCCTATCGCTCTTATTTCTTCATCACCATACCACATAGCCCAACACCACAAGTTATACCGTACAGTTGGTTGTACCGTATTTTCGATACACCCGGCTATTGGATTAAAGGAGATTCGGTGAAAGGGAGGCCAACAATTGGATCGAAGGGGTTATGATGCGATGCATCGATCGAAAGGGAGACCGATGCAGAACCCGAAGTGCGATGAAGTGAAGCATGGTAGCAGCGATCAATAACAAGTACAACAACGGAGGGACAAAACTCTAGCTTCGGATCCAACGCAACCATCTAATTCCTACAATTTCCAATGACGACGAAAACTACAATGGCAGTGGAACTCTAGCTTTTAGCCTGCTGCAATCGATCGAGGTGGGAGTTGCAGATTTCACAGGTACGTAACACATGAATTGCTTCAAAATTGTAGTATGAAGGATCCGTTGCTTCAGAATGAACACGGTGTCCTTGTTTGGAAATAGCATTTTCGATTAGCGTTAGCATTTTTTATAAAATTTTAATAGAGTAGATTAATTCTTAAAACGCTAACCCTAAAGGCTACTGTCGAATAACCTTTTCAAAACTTTAACGCTAATCTCTAATGCTAATGCCAAACTGGGTCTATGTTATTTGAGAATGAACATTACGTTGTTTTAGAATGAACACTATGTTATTCGCAAATGAATACTACTATAATTATAATGAACAAATGCGTAAAAATGAACAATACGTCATTTTAGAATGAGCCGTACGTTGCTTTAAAATGAACACCACGATATTCCAAAATAAATACTTATGTTTTGTGCGAAAATGAGTACTACTAACTTATTGCTAATTTAGTAAAATGAATACTACGCGTCTACGTCCTCCGTCCAACAATATTGTTCCCTTTGCACATTATGTTGTTTGACTGAATTTATTTTTAGAATCATTTTTTGAAAAATCATATGGAAATAAAAGCTACATACTTGAAAATACATAAAAAGATTTACTAAATTAGAGATGACATAATTGTATTATTTTAATCAAATGAACAATTTTAATATGCCAACAAAATGAATATTGAACTATGAAGACTATTGTTGGGGAGGGATTACTAAAAAATACTCCCTCCGTCCCAATTTTTTTGCAACACTTCGAACGACGTGTAAAATATCATCTCTTTTAAAATCACTTTAATTTCAAATTGGTAGAGTAATAAAAAGTAAAAATTACACCATTTAAAAGTATATGAAAAACTCTACAAAACAAGATGCGACAAGAATATTTTATTTTATCAAATGGTCAACCAAAACGAATAAACAAACAAAAGTTATCGAGAGGCCATAATAGTAAACGTGACATTGTTTCTGAGGGTAAGTACTACACCCCGCAATTCCACACCCCATTCATCACCCATTTCACCAAAATTCATCCAACACCCATAAACCTTAAGTAGTCAAACTTCAAAACCCCTGCAATTCCACCACCGCCCGCTGTGTCCTATTGCCACCATGAATTCGTCCTTCAGTACCACTCAGAATCTGGATAACCTTCTCCTCCAATCCATGATGGGCAGGCTCCAGATCCGTCCGCCATCTCCGAACCCCGCTCTGCTCTCTGCCGAATCCCTAGAAGACCTCCTCCTCAAAAGCATCCTCTCCCACGAAAAAGAGTACTCAGATGACGAAGAAGAAGAAGAAGGTGGCATCGAATCTCCCCAAAAATCTGATCTGGCCAAGGAAGAATCGAGGCTCGAGAAAGAGATCATCCGCACTATCCACAGCGGCAATTTGGACTCTCTGAAACCCAACTCCGGTCAGGCTGTGTCAATAGGCGAGCACCACATATGCGTAGGGTTTCATGAGGAATCCCAGTCCGATTATCGGGTCTGGGAGTGGCACGGTCATATCATGCTGTTTGATGAGGAAAATGGGTACACTCCTGAGTATATATATGGGAACTATTTTGAGAGAGTCAGTGCTAAGCCGATGATGAAGAAGAAGCAGACTGACGAAGAGCAGCTGAAGATGAAAGTGGAGAAGGTAGGAAACTTGGGGCTGAGGGAGTTGATAGAGACAGTCGAGTGGAATACTGAGGCTCGGGTGCTTCGGAGGAATATCAATGCCGCCTCTCCAAACTTTCTATCAGGCACGCCTTATCCTTTTTCTTTTATCATTACTATCAGAGTATGATATTTTTTGTAAAAAAAATTTGTGGTGCTGGTAATTGCAATTTGATGGTCACTTTGCAGTGAATTATTTTAACTGTTATTTGTTTGCTTTTACATTTTAACTTTGGCAACATATGATACAAAGACACATTTATATGACACTAGTTGTAGCTCATTTTGTTTGTCACCAATATTTCAGTTAAGGCATTGTTTTGCTGATAGGACAGACACCATTTATGGAACTTAAGATGTAACTAAGCATGTTGGATTTAGGTCTCTTTTAGAATTTATTATCTTTTTCTTTCTTGAAGTTTTATGCTACAACTCTTCAGGGTTTATTAAGGGTCACACCTAGGCCACATAGAAATCTGGCTACTTAAATGATATGCTCCAATACACATGTTTTCGAAAGCGTTCCCGAAAGAGTGCAGATTCAAAGATGATGAATAAGATACATTGCAGATTCACGGCTTCTTCATCAGTTCGCTCTTCACAGCTTTCTCCTCACCGTGCTTCTATCAGTTTGTTCTTGCCTTTTTCCTTGGCACAATGCTTTAACAGTTCATCTCTTGCTTTCACTACTTCCTTCACAAACTTGCACAGAGCTTATCAACTCCCTCATTTAGCACAACATACTCTTTCGTTCTTTTTTATATTCGGGTTAAGCAGCATCCTTTTAATCAAGATAATATGATTTTAAGAAAAATTATAACATGTCACCTAGAGCGCCTCCCCTTGGAATGCCTAATTGATGATATTGACCATCTACCTTATAAGGGCAAAGTTGCAGTATCAAAGGCTTCCCCTTTTTATTGATTCTCTTTCTAGTCTGCTTTGGCTCAAACTATTTTAGTGGTTTAGCATTTAGGCATAAAAGTGTAATATTTACCACATTTCTAGATTCTTGTTTTTTATTGTTTTTTTTGAGGAACTTGTTTATTGTTAGAATTTACATTAGGCTCAGCCACGTATATACTCCTACTGTAGTACGTACATGTTATGGTGAAGAATCATTAAAGTAAGCATTTACATGTATTTTCATGATCATTCTTAATTTTTAACAATCAGAAGTTAAAACATCATTTTAGTCCCGTAGAAAAGTGAACATGAGAATCTTGAAGCGGTTGAAGGATATATTATTGTGTTACTGAGGAGTTAAACCCACATTTTATGAAGGGTTTGTGGCATGCGTAATGCCACTCTTGAGGCTCTTTTCTAATAGTTCGCTTGCACCTGTAGAAGAGGTATCTCTTAGCAGTGATGTAAAATACCATGGACCTTTTATATCTTGGATTATAGTTGGAGTCTTCAAATGAGAAAATGTGCTCTCAGTTAATGTTAAAGTTAAGTCTTTTTTAAGGTTGCTTAAGGAAACTAATCTAACAAATGAGAATAGAACTACCAATCCCACTGCGCAATCAATCCAGCTGCACCCTTCCTGAAAGATACTGAATTTGAAAAACAGAAAATAAGAGCACTCTACTAAAATCTCTGACAAGTATCTCACCAAAGAAATTCTGATAGCCAAGGAGAATCTCTAAATGATAATAGAGTATAATTATGAATCCTCTCCCCAAACTTTATGATACTGACCATACTATACTGTATAGTGCTGAAACACTGTTAAATATCACTAAAATCATGCCACAAATTTGATGAAGTGGGTGGTAAAGGACATCCACTAACTTCTCCAGTCATTAGTTTAACTTAAATAAATAAATAGCTAACATTCGATTATAAAGGCCAATATTCCAATGTCCATAGCTTCCGGCTCCCTATAAATCTGCAATGAATCTCCAACTTTTTCTTCTTCCCTTCTTTTTCTCTAGATGGGTTAGTGGGTAGTTATGGGTACGAGGACCACTATCACATCTTGCTTTCACCTTTGATATGGAATACCAGGAAAGTAGTCTTTAACAGTCTTTTATGACCACTGCAGATATCATTATCATCATTATCAACTTATAGTGCATAGTGGTGGGCATGGGTGATGTGAATATTTTGGGTACTTGATTTACATAAATGAAGCTGAATAAGATGTTTGTTAGGGTAGTTGATGACATAATCTGGATCAGTTTGGCCTTTGTCCATGCTAGATTTTACTCCTTGAGTTTAAATATTAATTTATCAGCCTTCGATTCCACAAGGTCAACACTTTCTGCATTCTTTGATGGGCTAACAGCTATCCCAGGCAGGCTTTTACCTTTTAAAATAAAAAATAAAAAATTGTCAAGGTTTTCTTTTTTATAGATATTTTTGCTAATTGAAACCATTAATTGAGCTTGTCAAACAAATTTGTCAAGGTTGTCCGAAACCAGGCTGTCTTATTACACGGGAGATCGACAGAGATTGAAGGGTTCATGAATCAAGATGGACAATTTTTTTAGTTAGGCTGTGTTTATTTTGATTTTTAAAATTTTGGTCAAGTTTTTTTTGTTCGTCTCTGGGCAGAAATTTAGATTTGTTTACTTTTCACTGTGTTTTGCAGGGAGCTAAGCTCTCCAAACAAGAGTTCTTGGCGTGAGCAAAACACTTTTAACACCGATGAAGGTATTAAAAATATTGCAGAATAAGAAGGTGGAAGACATTATGGCACTTGGTTTTTTATGCTTGTTTTTTAAAATGTTTTGACGGTTGTAACGGGCATTGTGTAATGTTTAATTTGTCAATTTTTTTGTAGCTTTATTATTGTTTCTTACTGTGTAACAACTTCTGCGTTTCTATATTTGAGAGTTGTATGCTTTTTGAGTTTTTGTTTAATCTGAGTTTTGCTGAAGAGGAAAGGAACAAATAGATTCAATAGAGCATTAACTGCCAATAGACATGCTCAAGTTGGAGATCTTTGTGGCAATTTTGTTGTCAGTTTTCCTATTTTGGTTGATAAAAACATCTACTGCATATGAACTTGGTTGTCTAAAACTCTTGAAGTTTTTCTTTTCTTTTAAGAAACATATACGGGCATATTTTGTTATCCCCTCAGCACAGCTACCGTCTGAGTCTTTTGGCATGAGAAGGTACCTAACTACCGTTAGCCCGGACCCCCCTACAGTCAAGTCGGGACTTTCCTACCGGAACAGCTATTGGAAGATAGGTATCAACGAATTTGCACGAGTGTGCTCATGTAAAATGGCCAAGGAGATATAAGATGTGCTTCAAGACATGCATGAAGGCCACACCACAACAAAGCAAACCATGTTACAATGAAGCAAACCATGTTGGCCCTTGGAAGTGCGGAATATGAAAGCTTCAAAGTTGGCCAACACAAGTCAATTAAAGATGCCAATAGAAGATTCAATGAGGTTGTGAACAAGTTGGGTAAGTTAGGTAATGAATGTTCTATAAGTGAATTAAATATAAAAATTTTACTTTCTTTACTAAAAGAGTTGCAAAATAGCATTGTAGATTTATTATCTAAATGTGCAACGAAAAACACCGCCCACATTTAGTCTTCTTTGTATTATTACTAGCTTTTGATGATTAAGATGAAAGAAGAATATGTGAGAGAAGATCCAAAATAAACCAATGCGTTTAAGGCATCCAAAAAAGGAGTCTAGTGATGACTTAAGTGATTCAAACGAGGAGTCAAGTGAAACAATTGAAACATCTAGTGACTCAATTGACGAGTCAAGTGATGAAGATGATGAAAAGGATGTGATGAAAATGAAATATGAAGATTTTCTCAAATGGAAAAAGTATGAATACTTCAAGACAAAAGAAAAATTTATAGAGTCTTCCAAGCCGAAGAAAGAACAACATAAGTCAAGGTAGGTTTTTCATACTTATTGAGATAAGAATTTTCTTGTACTTGTTTTTGAAATTCAAACCTTATCCCATATGTGCTTCAATTTGTTTTAGTTTTGGTTTGCATGATTAAACAATTATTCAAAATTTATTTTTAATCGTGTCTTTTAAAAATCCCCAAAAATCTCTGAAAAATAAGTTTTTAAAACTTGCATTAATTTAAGGGGATTTTTTTTATTTCAGGGTGAGTTTTATTGTAAATGTACATTTTACCCAAGGATCTCCAAACTATCATTTCTCCTAAAAATTTATTTTGATAGGGGGAGGGTTTCAAGAACTCATACATGTTTAAATTCTTTTAAATACCTTTTTTTATTTTGACTAAAGGGAGAGAAAATGTATAATTTAAAGTGCTGCATATGCAACTTCACTTGAGTGCATTCTTTGTGATTGTTTGCATCAAACTTAAACTTTTAATAAACACAAGAAAAATCTAAAATGAGTATTTTTGATACGCTTATTCTTAGGGGGGGGGCTTGCTTGTTCCATAATCTTTACTCTCGTGTAACTCACTTTGAAGTATATTATTTGTCAACATAAAAAATGGGAGATTGTTAGCATTGGTTTGCTAAATCTCGTGTTTTGATATTAACAAACAATATATGAGCTAACGTTTGTTTAAGTGTTTCAGGTACAACAACAAGAATCCATTATGAATTGGTTTTCAAGAATGAAGTTGAAACACCAAAATAACGTAAAATATAGGTAGAAACAAATGTAAGGATATGATTTTATATACTTATATTCACAAGCTCAATTACACCCAAAAATATATTTAAAACCTTCTACAATCATTTCCGAACATCTAAAAAGTTTTAAACAAAATTAGAAAAGATTTAGCCAAAAATGAAAAAATTATCACAGTTGTCAGGTACCATCAGAGCCTTTTGGGCCGAGAAGGTCGGGACCTCCCAACCGAAACAGCTACCGTAAGATAGGTACCGTCAGAGCCTTTTGACCTAAGAAGGTACCTAGCTGCCATTGGTTCAGGACGCCTTTACCGTTAAGGCGGCACCATGGTACCGTTTAAATAATTAATTTTTTCAAAATTGCCGATTTCATTTTAAACCACTTAAATATCTTTAATACTCCAAATCAGCTCCAAACGGCCATAACGGTCATATTTGATATTCAACTATAGGTAGGGCTATAATCCTTCATTTTAAACAACAACCCAAGCTCCCAAACTTCATATTCTCATATTCTAAATGTGTTCATTCTTTTGTTATTCATTCTTGTAATTTTGGCTATTTCAAGAGTCGTTTTTCTCCTGATTTTTATACATACGCTATTGAGCTAGTGGTATAGATATATACTCTCATATCTATTACTCCCTCCGTCCGGATTTTAAGTTCCCAGTCTACTCTTTTTTTCGTCCAGAAATAAAGTTCCCAGTCTACGTTTTTATACTCACTCTTCCTAAAATACCCTTTATCTCCCCTCTTTTTTCCCGTTTCTTTCTTCTTTTTCTTCTTTCTCTTGTTCCTTTCTCCGCCACTCTCTCTCTCTCTCTCTCTCTTCCCCCTCCCCCTTCTTTTCTTCTCCTGGTTTCTTCTTCTTTCTCCTCCTCCTCCTTTTTTCTCCCCTTTCTTTTCTCGACTAGATCTAGCTATCATCTTCCCTCTCCCCCCTCTCCCCTTCTCCTCTTTTTCTTCTTCTCATTCTTTTTCTCAAAGCCCTTTATTTTTTTCAGATCTGGAAGAACGCAAGTTGCCCTGTTGTTCTTCGATCCTGCGCATATCAGAGAAGATGATTCAATTGAAGTTGTGTAGAGGAGACAATTCAAGTCCATACTCCATTTGAGCAGAGGAGTTAATTGTTGATCCCAATTAAAGTTGTGGAGAGGATTCAATTCTTGAAGCCCCTTGTTTGAACAGAAACATCGATTGAAATTGTACCCTTCTTCGATCGTGCAGGTGTCCATTGTCTTTTGTTCCATAGAAATTCCATGGAAAAACGTAGGTGGAGTAAAAATTGAAATCGGATTTGTGCAGCAGAGAAAGATAGGGGTATTTTGGACAAATTGTACACAAAGTCAAATTCCACTAAAAATGAGCAAAAGTCAAATCGGGAACTTTAAATCCGGACAGAGGGAGACAGGGAGTATAATATTGATCTTGTATATTTTCTAGAGAATATATTCTTGTTCTACACCAGCTAAGTCTCATTCTTTATACTTGTGTTAAGTTGTTGTGTAGAACTTATTTTTATATTGTCGAACACACTTTTTTACCGTTGAAAATAATCATTAGATTCTAAGCTGTAACGGTAAAGGGCCAAGAAATCATTGGCTAAAAGGTTCGAGGATAGCCTTAGCCTTCAAATTCTTGGGGGAACAGTCGGAGAAAGCCGTATCATGAAATCTGAATTGTAAGAGGATCGAGATAGCCGTTATGAAATCTCGGGTTTAATCCTATTTGCAAGAGTTGTTTGCCAAACTAGTGCAATACTTTGACGGAATTCAAGAGACCGGGACCTAGTGGATTCAAAATTCCTTAAGGAGGAGTCTTAAGGTACTAGAGTAGGGAGCTTCCAAACCAGTTTAAAAATGGCGTGTCTTTACTTTACGCTTTTATTTCTACGTTTCATTTATTGCTTTTACATTCGCTAACACCAATTTATCAAAATATGAAAAGTGTTTAAATGCTTTATTTACCCTTTCAAGGCGTGAGCATATCAATTGACATGTCTAAGGACCCATTTGGCAATAACATTAGAGTTTAACATTATCATTTTGAAAAGACTAATGATAATTTTTAACATTAACATTTTTAAAATAAATTGACATCATTAATTTTTTATCCAAAGTCGAAAATAATGTGAGAGGTAACTAGTGTTAAACCAGATTCATCCGGTTGAGATGAGATTGAGATTAGTTCGATTTGGGATATCACCTTTAGAGTTTGTTTGAAGATATCGTTAGAGATTAACATTAACGTTTTAAATAAAATTTTAACTGTGTAGATTACTTTGAAAACGCTAACGCTATATAATTCCAAACATGACTTAAAAAATTACTCTATCTGGAAGGGACTATATACATATTTGGATCCGTAGTCTTCGTCTTCTTTCCCAAGCTAATGCACTTTCCGATTCCGATGTCGACTGAGTGGTTATTTTGCTTCAATTTATATCCGCGTCTGTTCATCTAATCTGTGCGCAATCCGTTGATTTTCACATTAATCGTCGTTGATTGTGACCGCGTCGAAAGCTGGAACTATTGATTTGTAGCTTAGGGTTTTCCTTTATGAGAGAAATCTCATAGCAATCGAACCAGAAAATGCCTTCGCTGCCTTTCACTGCAATCTATCTTCTCCTAATATGCCCATACGAGAACCGCTTCTATGGTGTTTTGTGTTCTCATCGTCTGAAGCCTCTCGAGAAGAATCACAGGCGTAATAGTCATAGTTAACAGTTGCTTTCCTTTTTATTGCTTCGTTGTTACAGCTTAAGGTGTGGTGGCTTTCATTTCATGCATTGCTTTTATATTTTCATCTTCACAAGCCTGGGAGTTGTAAACTGAATCAGTCTGAAATTTTAATGATCTGTTTTTCGCTTGCAGTTGATTAGTTTCTGGTAATTTTGTTGACGGGTTTGAGGAGGATCTGGCAACTTTCATTCATCACTGGAAGGCAACACTTGAGCATATTTGTCATTTACAAGTATTAGGTATTTTTTGTTAACAATTCTTTATGCATCTGCTTGTTTTTTATTGCATGCCATAAATAATGTATATATCTGGTGCCTTTCATTTCTAGAATTCATCCATAGCTGTAGTTGTTTGCCAAGCTAGATGTACGCATTTGCTTTGGCAGCATTTAGTTTGTCAGATTACCGTTGGACTCTCATTATGTGGTATCATCAGAATATGCTACAATTCTTGCTTAATGGTGAAGTGTTGGATCTTTTTTGTTAGATTTTGCACATCTATATGTGCATGCACAAATAAATTGCTTATCCAAGAATTTGTTTGTCGGCAACTCATTTTAGTCTAATCATTTGGTTCGGTGTGATGGAATAAATCAAAATAGATCTCTAAACGGTTTGCGCTTCTTTAATTAATGAAGTAGCAGTTAGTCAAGCAATGCAACTTTCGACGTTGAGCCGGGGGTCTCTTTGGAAACAGCCTCTCTACTTTCGAGTAGGGGTAAGGTCTGCGTACCCACACCCTCCCCAGACCCTACTCTTGTGGGATTTAACTGGGTTGTTGTTGTTGTTGTTGTATTTGGTTCGATGTTGCTCACACCTCACCAAGCTTCATTGTTCACTCCACCACTACCACCAAATATCTTTATTCACTCCGATAAACTGCCCTCAATCAAAATATTAAATATAATTTATGTTCCATTTAATTTTTCCAAAGCCATGTAAAACTAAGTAAATATGTACAATAGTATTAATTAAACCAATAATTAGCAAAAGTAGTTACACAAACATGGTGGTTAGGGTTAGAACATTAGTTTTGCATGGTATTTAAATATTGAAGTATGTCTATAATTTAGTACATATAGATAAGATTGAATATCCTGTTACTATTGAATAAAGGAATACTCCATACCAAATATTTTCATAACAATCTTTAAATAAGATTGAATAAATAAAACAATGATAACGGGGTCAGAGGTGATGCATTATTTACTGTTTGCGGGAGTTGTTTAATGTTTACTACTCCCTTTCCCTAAATAAAATTCAGTTTACAGTTAATGAAGCTTGGCTGAAGTTTTTTTCAATTCTATATATTTGAATATTAGTAATTTAGTACGTAATTTAAAAATAAAATTTATACATTTAAAAATTGCATCAAAAGTTATAAACAAGGGGGTGAGATATATTATTTTCTTCAAACAAACGATTTACGTAAATAAGTAAAGAAAGAAGATATAGTTTGAGTGTGTGAGTAGTGAAAATGAAGTTTATTTAGGGACGTGGGGAGTAATAAGTAGTTTAATTAGTAAGAATACTTACATGGTTATGCATTGCTTTGAAATAATTAATCAAAACAGGAAAATTGGAATGAGAGTTTAATGCTGGGGAATGAAACATGTTTGGTGGTCGTGGAGTGAAGTTATTATTTAGGTAATTACATTATCTAAATAATTCATTTTTTTTGTTTTTGCAGATCCACCTAGCACTCTTTCTAATTGATGGACATTTGTGCATGTTGCAATAAGTCAGCTTCTGAAAATGTAAGGCACTCTGGTCTGTTGCCTGGGAGTCTTCCTTTTTGTGAAGACAATATTGCTCTAGACTTTGGTGTGGATGATATCAGGAACAATTTGAGTGATCTAGTCATTATTCAGGAGGATCAACAGCTGCATAATACAACTGCTTCAAAGTTCTCAAAAGATGATGGGTTGGAAAGTACCCCTGACAGTCGCACAGGCAGTTTGGCTTCAAAAAAATGCCTTGTCAAGTCTGCAATGTTTCCCAACTTCACTAAGTGCTCTCCTGATGTGTCAATTAATCAAAGAAAAAAGCAGGGAATGAGTGATGTAACTGCTGAACCTGTGGTTCCTAATGGTGATGCAAATTCTGCTCAGCTTTCTATGCACTCTAAATCTTCGCTAGTAAGTTCTTGATGTCCTTGTGCATGATGTGTAATGTCTATATCCCAATCCATACCTCTTATACGGATTAAGGAATAATTGCAACTTTGTTAGTTGCATGGATACCTATAAATATCTTTGTAGACTTTGACACTGTGGAATTCAATCCCTGTCATGTTCCTAAGTAGCAATGGTCAGTGTGCTGTCTTTTGACCATCTAATTATCTGCTCATATATGATTTGTGTTGGGATAGTACAGTGTGGGTGAATGTTTGATCGGTGGTGTTTGGAAGAGTACTGTTCACTTATCAAGCATGTAACCTGATGAGGTGTTATTAGACATGTGGCCATTTCACATGGAGTTTCTTTAGGCGAAGTAGTATAAACATATGCTTTTAAATACAGTGTTATTTATTTATGCCATTGCTGATAATTATGATGTTCCATCATATTCGATGGAGCCAAAATTTCACTATTTTTTGGCTTTGGGGTATGATGGAATAAAGTAAAATGGTTCTTTGAACTGTCTATGTTTTTTTAATAGTGAAGTAGCAGTTAGTCAATGCAACTTTTGACGCTCATCATGGGTCATCCGGAAACAGCCGCTCTATATTTGAAACATAGGGGTCAGGCTGCATACGTGATTACTTATGGTGCTTGAACCCGGGGTCTCTTTGGAAACATCCTTTTTACTTTTGAGTAGGGTTAAGGTCTGCGTACACACACCCTCCCCAGACCCTACTTTTGTGGGATTCGTCAGGGTTGTTGTTGCTGATAATTATGTTGCTATTGATTGTTGGCATTCATCATTGCGTCTATGTTAAATGAGCTATAAGAGTTCAGCTCCAGGTATATAATGGACTAAATCAAAATGGCACATTAAACTTTTTTGGCTTCTTACTTTATGTAAAGTTTTGGGCATTAATTGAAGTAATGCATTAAGGGTCTAACAGAAACAATCTCTCTGTTTTATTCACAGGGGTAAGGTTGCGTATATACGTACTTGTGGGATTTTGTTGTTCTTGTCACTTGTGGGATTTTGTTGTTCTTGTAAGGTTGCTTACAATTGGACTCCACAGATCCAATGATTATACTAGGTTTGTTGTTGGTTTTTGTTGTGCATTTGCTAGTATAAATCACTTCTCTCCTTCCCGCAAAAATCTTCACCTTTTCCTTTTCAACCATCCCAAAAAAACTTCGCTTTCCTTTTGAGGAAAAGGATATGTGGCTCAGAAAATCTCTCTTCTTTAACTAATTCCAACCACATTTGTTTCACTTATCAACACTTAAACACGGTGAGAGTGAAACACAAATTAAATTCTCACTCTCTTCTTATCTTATTTATCTTTTCACCTCCAAATTACTGTCCTTGTTTGAGATTCTGAGTATGTTATTTGACATTGGAGCACAAAACAATTGACAACTGTTCCAAAGGTCTTGTGTTGTTTGTAGAAATGGAGACTATCCAGTTCCAGATATCATATATATATATATATATATATATATATATATATATATATATATATATATATATAACAAGTACTCCTTTTACATTTATGATTTCTTTTTTTGTTTCTCCCTGTGACAGAGTCCCACGAAGCTGGTATCTGCTATGAAGGGTAGCCGTGAGAAGCAAGGGAAAATACCCCACAAGATACTCCGTGTGAAATGGGCACCTGATGTGTATGATCCAGTCCCAACATCAGTGTCTCATGTGCCAACAAACAAACCTCAACGCCACAAGAGTGATGGCAAGAAGAATGGGAAGAAGAATAAACATAAGAGCCTTGGGAAGTCGTCACGGGCCAACAAGGGGAAAGAGAAGAAGCAAGGTCGGAAGTATGGTGGGAGCTCCGAAAGAGGTTTTTATCCATTTGATGACCACCACACCATAGCCATTTCTTCACGTGAACGTCCTACTAGTACTGTGGATTTGGATATCGACAGCCCAGATAGGCTATGTGGAAGTAGTTTTCTCAAGAACTCTGTAACGAAGCTGCACGTCCCATTCGCAGAGGCTACATGAGTAAGAGTTGCCTTTTAGCTTTTTTCCTGGTATCCCTTTCAGTTTTTTCCCCAAAGCTTCCCCATCTGTAAATAAATAAGAACGGGGTGTGACACCTTTGGTTATCACTTGTGTGAACATAGTTTGTGTTTGAGTTGTATTTTGCCCGTTGCACTATCAAACAGCATCTCATATTCTGCTCGCTGGTTTAAAGCATTCTTCCATAGCTTGTTTTAATGAAAGTGCAATGGGAGAAAGGCCAAAGTAGAACTAAAACAATGAAAATATACTAAAATAGAACTTCTATGTTTTTATTCACGAAATAGGACTTACATTCAAAAAAGTATAGTAATGTGCACATGTACAGTGCCACATTACCATAAAGTCCTATTTCGGGAATCAAATATGAAGGTCCTATTTTGATATGTTTTTCTATTTTTTAGTCCTATTTAAGGTGATTTCTAAAATGCAAGGAGGTGAAATTAGTGGCGAAGGAGATTTGAGGGTTACCCCTATTTGGAATGGAATAGAAAGAGAATTAAGAGTTAGAGCATCTCCTAGGGGTCCTCTATACGTAAAATTGGCTAGCTTCTTTTGGCAATAGATTTTGTTGTCATAATGTGACAACTCAAATTGGAGCACCTACGGAGCTTTATTTGTAAAATTGATAATTTTTACCATCCTTAAATCTTTCACCCCACCCTTGCAACCTACCGTACCCCCTAGCCAAAATTGGTTGCCAAATTGGCGATCTGGGAGACTGGAAGGTTTAGGGGGTTAAAACCATCAATAACCAATAATCGTCGATTTGAGTTATTGTCATAATATGACATTATGATCTGCTGTCAAAATAACTAAAATAACGCAAAACGTAAATGCTTAGAGGCTGATGTTTTTTACCAACAAAAAATGTTGTCATATTATGACAATTGTCCATACGGTAATTTTTTAAAATGGTTTCTACTGTTCCAAAATCCTCCCAGCTATCAGACATTCTCCCTAAAATTGTCGATTAGTTACAGTGTCATTGTAGCCGACCGATGATTTTAGAGAGGGGGAGCTGTTGGGATAGCAGCACAGGAGTTAGGAGAAGTAGAAACTATCAAATTTTCAAAAGCATTTTTCGTTGCCAAAAGAAGGGAGCTAATGTTAAGAAAATTACTCCATAACTTTTATGTCTCACCATCTATAGAATGAAGGATGTGCACAGTGGCTAAAACATAAGTACTTTTACTATTTTTTATTTCTTTTTTATAAATACAATGCATATTCTTTATTTCATGATTTCTTTCTTTTTTACGCACATTTTAATTTTAAAATAAATAAATATAGTATTATAATAGAAGTTAGTACATTAATATATTTGTTACTCCGTATTTCATATGTGTGTGAGGATAATCTAAAAATAATGTTATGTTAAAACTTTAAATGTAAATCATTAAAAAATAATAAAATGTACTCCGTATAATAGTAATGTAATTTGTATAATATAGAAGTACGCTATAATTAGAGTAGAAGTTAAAAAGTGAATAGTTAAAAGATTGTAGGAAGCTAAAATCACTTTTAGCTTTTTAAACTATAGCTTTTCCTTTTGGATGAAAATCATCCCCGAAGGCTTCTTCAGATCCGGTCGGACAGTTACTGAGAGAAGGTAAATTGAACTTTAATCGTAAATTGGTCTCCAAGAGTGGAACATGCACCTTGTACTTGTAAAGGCTCTATGCTTAGCATAGTTGTCTCCCGATGCAATTACTAGGAATCGACTTCGGGTCTTACCTTTTTGACACTTTTTGTCTTGTTGAGTGCACGCCCACCGACATAGCTTCTCCTTTGGAGATGCTAATAGTGTGTGCTCCATGAATGGGACGGATAGTTGTCACCTTTCTCCTTTTATCTCATTTATATTGGTTTACTTGCACTCCAATTTGGGGAATTGAGGCTATATTTTTGAACTATTATTTTTGGTTCAAGAAATTTAGAAGAAAATATTTTTTTGACTCATACTTATTACAAGTATTGTTTCTAATTTTTCTTTTGGAAGTTTTCTTAAACTTTTAAAATCAATATCAATGAAACAAATTTTTATTTCTTTATTTGCGTGCCACAAATCCAAGTACCAAAAGAGTAAAAAAAGGAGCAATATTTTTTTTTTATAAATTTCAATTAACAAAACATTGATATAAATAATCTAATGTTATCTCATTTAACAATGAAATATATATTTATTGAATATTACGGAATCAGAAAGGGAAATATATTTAATAAATGATTTCATTTAACATTTTACGTATTAATATTTTATATTGGCTCTTTAAATATAACTAAAATTTAATTTGTTTTCGGGACAAATGAAATATAGACAAATATATTTCATTTGTCTATACAAATTGTGATATTACTTCAAATTTTATCTTATATTAATTACAATAATGAATAATGATGATGACAATGACACTAATAATACTCTTTCTGTTTCAAAAAAAATTTCTACTTTCTTTTTTCATCCGTTCCAACAAACCTTTCTCATTTTTATTAAAAGTCATATTTACTCATACTAATTCTTAACATACTTATTACATCACACTTTTTCACTATTTATTTATCAATCACATCTTATTTTTACCCATCGCATCTAAGGATATTTTTCAAAAACTTAACACCAAAATACATTTTTTTTTAATTTTTTTAAAAATCAAAACCAGAAAGATTTTGTTTGGACGGAGGGAGTAGTAATAATAATAACTAATGTAATGAAAATAATATAAAAATACACATAGTTGTTTTGAAGTCACTATTAGAGAAAAAGAATCAGTAGGAAGTAGGAGTTTCAAAAATGAGAACAAGTTTGAAAAAAGCAGAAGGAATTGAAAGAAACTTAATTAAAATTAAAAGTCCTAATAACTCCAGTACCCCTCCGGTTTAGTAAATAGACACTAATACCTCCTATTTTTCAAGACTATTAATAAAATTCTCGTAGTTTCAAAACAATGAACACACCACCTCTGATCATTTTTCAAACCACAATGGGCAACTAGACTCATTTTCAAATTTCCTTTAATGTTTTGGGTTTTTCTGTATAGATTTCTTTTCTTTTCTTTGTTTCCTTTTTTAAAAGGTTTTATTAATTTTAGGACTATGAAAAAAATAAAAAAATGGAAACGAAATGAAAAAATAAAAACATATAAAATACTCTTTAAAAAAGAAAACATAGCTATTGAGTATGCTTTTCAGGACATTTAAAAAAATTCGATACCTAAAAAAGGTTATTTCTTTTAATTTTAAAAATAAAAAGATCAATTTGTAATTTGGTATCTATTGGGTGGTAACTTAAAAAAGAAAATTCTTAACTCAACACATTAAGAAATGACTAAGCTTGTTTGGCATCCTAAAAATGAACTTTAACAAGACATTTCATGACTACACTTTTTCCTTTTTTTATAAGAATATTTTCTTATGTTTTTATTTTCTTTCTTTTTTTCTATTATTTTTTATTTCTTTTTCTATTCCTCATTTTTTGAAGTTCCCAAAAAATGTTTACTTTTTATTATGGAAAAAATAAAAATAGATTTTTAATTTGAGTATACGTTAATTTTTTTGTTTCATTTATTTTTTATTTGGAACAAAAATAAATTTGAATTTTATAACATTATGAAAAATAATTTTAAAAAAGAAATTGAAAAATATCTGCAGAGAAAGAAACAAACAGAGAAAAAATGTAAAATTAAATTAAAAATAAGAAATAAGCTCCGGTGCCCCTTGTAATTTGGAAAAAGAAGTCACCTAAATAGGATTAAAAGATAAAGAAAAAATCAAAAATCAAAATAGGAGTTCATGTTTTTATCTTCAAAATAGAAGTTTCCCCTATGATAATGTGACACGCATAGACGTGGAGGCCATGGCGAGTCAAGAAACTGCTTTCAAATACTCCCTCCGTCCTATAATGATCTTCCCGATTCGCAAAACAAAGAAAAATCCCAAGTTTTTTCAATCTATTTTATTTAAATATTGGTATAGAAATAAAAAATAAAACATACATGTTTAAAAACTACACCAAAAGTTCAACAAAACAAGTGGTGACAAGAATATTTTATTTTATCATATAGGCCATGAAAAAACACAAATAAATATAAATTCCCGTGAAGTTGGAATAGTACTCTGGGAAGATCATTATAGGACGGAGGGAGTAATTAATAATGAACAAATCATTGAACACAGTTTATGTTTGGTTTTCGAGTTTGAACCCTAAATTGTATTTTCTCTTGAATTTTATAACTATTTTATGTTTACTAAATATTCTTGAAACAATTTATATGTGAAAAGGGGAAATTATTGAAAACAAATAATGTTATTAAGTAAACCTGCATTTTGCTATTTGTCTATCTATTTTTAGTGATTATCCTCAAAAAATTGCTTCCGCCAGCTTCCATCCATTACCTATGCTCTAAGCAGCTCCTTATTACCGATGATCAGTTTTGGAGAATATTAGAAATAATTGAAATATTAAGAAATAAATATTATTATTAATTACTTTCCTTAATTATTCTAGTGTTTCTGTAATTGTTATTCCATTATGATTAAATCTCGTTGTATTTCTTATATATTGAAGTAAAACCTTCATTATTCAATAAGACCGTGTTCTCTTCACTTATCTGATTATCTCTGATCTAATTATATTAACTTCTGATCTGGTTGTAATTATATATTTAAAGACTTTTCTGATCAGATATGATTTCAATAAAAAAAGTAATAAGAAATAAGAATAAACTGAGGAGAACATGATCTAAGATGAAATTATTATTAAATTGGATCCGTTTTGTATGTACGAACAATTTGATCCTCGGGAGGCCAGAATTAGAGGATTTATAGTGTGTCATATGCTTGAGGACTCCGAGTGAGCTGGTTACTAAGTTTATGTTCTCTTCAACTTATTATTATTATTATTAATTATTACTTATTTTTATTAGAATCATATTAGATTAGACCAAATCTAATAAAAATAGCTTTAATTTAATTACAATCTCATCATATCATATTAAATCAGAACTTATTCCAATTAGATAAGCGTCAATCAAATCAGATGAAGAAAACATGGTCTAAGTAAGAGGTGTGAGAAGTGAGGACTATGATGTGGTGGCAAACAAGGAGAACCAAGCACTAGAATTAAATTTTCTCGAAGAGAGAAGGGGAGCCGCACCCTATTGCCAAGCATTGAATTATTGTCGGTACATGAAGACATACTCTTTCCGATCCAATTAGGGGATCACAGAACCCGGTATCCGGCACGCCCTTAAAAGCCGCCCGCAAAACTACAAG